CAAGTAGGAGAGGAAGGAGGACGGCGCGAGGGAGCGGGCGGAATGCCGGGGGGGCGGGGACGCCAGCCTCTGGCCCGCCCCGTCCGGCCGCCCCTCCCCAGCCGGACGGAGGGTCCCTGCAGCTGCCCGGGTGGGGATGGTTCCCCGGGAAGAGCCCGCTGCCTTCAGGTTCCTACACTGTCCAGCCGGTGCTGGGGCTCCGCTGTTCACTGGTTGGGGGACGGCGGTCTGCAAGCCAGACGCTGTCCTAACGGGTCATAGATGAGCGCCACTTAAACTTTACAGTCACTTAGAGCAGCCGTTCTCAACCTGGGGGTCGAAGGACCCTAAGACCATCGGAAAACACATATATAATTACATATTGTTTTTGTGATTAATCACTATGCTTTAATTATGTTCAATTTGTAACAACGAAAATACATCCTGCATATCAGATATTTACATTACGATTCATAACAGTAGCAAAATTACAGTTATGAAGTAGCTACGAAAATAATGTTATGGTTGGGGGTCATTACAACATGAGGAACTGTATTAAAAGAGTCACGCATTAGGAAGGTTGAGAACCACTATATAGATATATTTCAAAACTAAGGTAAAATCTCCCCTATCGCCCGCTCTCCGCCCAGTGCTCGCCGCTGTACTGGTCCAGGGCGTGCCGGTAGGCCGACTCGAGCGGCATCAGCTCGTCCCGCGGGAAGCTCCGGAAGCTGTAGCGCTCGTACTGGGCGCGCCCCGAGCGCAGCGCGCAGCCCGCGCACAGCAGCACCAGCAGCGCCCCGGCCGCCCCTGGGAAGGTTGAGAACCACTGACTTAGAGGACTTGTAAAAACGCAGATGCCTGGACTGTACCCCCAGAGTTTCTGATTTAGCAAGTCTGAGGGTTTCCATTTCTTTTTTCATATATAGTTATGACTTAGAATTGTATTCTAATGATCTCTTTAATTTTATTTTTCAATTACCGTTTGCATTCGGTATAATTTTGTATTTTGTTTCAGGTGTACAACAGAGTGGTTAGACAATCATATACTTTATAAAGTATATTTATATTTCCAGTACTGCCTGGCACCATATTTAGTTATTTCTATATCATTGACTATATTCCCTATGCTGAAATTCCTATGACTATTTTGTAACCAGCAATTTGTACTTTATCCCTTCACCTTTTTCACCCAGATGACTAGGCAGAACACAGAGGACTTTTAGGGCGATCCTATAAAGGTGGATAAATATTATACATTTGTCAAAATCCATAGAATGTACATCAAGAGTGAACCCTAATGTAAACTATGAACTTTGGGTGATTAGGATGTGCCAGTGTAGGTTAATCAGATGTAACAGATGTACCACTGGGTATGGGATTCTGATAGTGGGGAAAGCTGTGTATATGTGATAGCAGGGGGCATACGGGAAATCTCTGCTCACATTTTTTTTTAAATATATTTTTATTGATTTCAGAGAGGAGGGGAGAGAAAGAAACATCAGTGATGAGAGTTGAGCCTGCAACCTGGGCATGTTCCCTGACCGGGAATTGAACCTTGATCTCCTGGTTCATAAGAGGTCAGTCACTGAGCCACACCAGCTGGGCTCTGCTCAATTTTGCTGCAAATAAAGCTTCTCTTAAAATAGTCTATTTTTTAAAAGAATACAGGCCCTTTGTCTTTAAAAAGTCCCCTCATTTGGGGTTTCTCTGATGTTTCCTCATGATTAGATGCAGATCAGCTTGTTTGGCCAGAAAACCACAGAAGCAATAGTGCATCTCTCGCTGGTGTCACAAGGGAGAAACACAGTATCTGCCTCCTATCAGTGACGTTAATGTTGATTACTTGTGAAGGTCATGGTTTCCCCCTTCATTATTTTTGTAATTAGTAAATGTTTTTGGTGTATAGCAGCACTTTTCTTAATAGCAGAAATAACCTGTCCATAAACGAGGTTATTGTTGTTTTTATTTGTTTGCTTGTTTTATTGATTTTAGAGAGTGGAAGGGAAGGGGAGAGAGAAACATCAGTTGGTTGCCTCCCTCACGCGTCTGCCTGGGGATCGAACCTGAAACCTGGATATGTGCACTGACCGGGAATCGAACCTGTCACCTTTTCGTGTATGGGACGACGCTCCAACCGAGTCACACCAGCCAGGGCTGGATTGTTGTTGCTTTTAAGTGAGAATATATGCACATAGAATATTTTGCATCAGGGGAAAATGATAGAATCGTAGCTACACATAACACAGTTCAATCTAAAAAAAATAGAGAATAACTTCATTTGTCTAAAGTTTTAAAGTAAAGTATGTCAAAGCACACAAAATATTATTTAGGAATGCAAATACTATAGTCTTACCTCTTACAAGCACACAGGATAATACCAACTGTAACGAAGAAGGAGCCACACGGACACTTCGGATAGTGATTTCCTGTAAGGTGGAAGGAAGGGCATGGAATTGGGAGAAGGTTCACCTAGGGGAGAAGGAATGGGAGTATGAGGACACTCACTGTAGCATTTTCTAGGCCATACATGTATTTTCCCATACCTGTATTTTTAAGATATTATTTTATAGTTAGTTGTTATGTTAAAACAATTTTTAGGGAAACAATTGCAGCAGAGATATAAAGAAAATAAAACAAGGGAATGGGATGGGGTGGAGAAAGGTTGCATGCGGGGGTGATGTTTGAGCAGAAACCTGAATGGAGAGAAGGAGCCTGTAGAGATGGCAGAGTTCGGGGAGAGTTTACCTGGTTCCCGGATGCCTCCTGCCCAGAGAGTCCATGGCCATCTTACCTGGAGCTTGATATTCCGAATGTGTGGAGACCGTGAAAAAGGCAAACACCCCAATTCAAAAACAGACACACAGACAGAAATGAACAATAAATTAACAACAGCCTTGCAAAGATGTGGCTGAGAGACCCTGGTGATAGCCAGGTGATACGGAGAAGATAGGAGAGAATGTTTAAAACAAAATCCTCACCCTGGCCACCGGGGTTCAGTTGGTTGGAGCATTGCCCAGTAGAGCAAAAGGTTAAGGGTTCAATTCCCAGTTAGGGCACATACCTAGGTTGCTGGTTCACATTGATGTGTCTCTTGTTCCCTTCCTCTTTCTCTAAAATCAATAAACATCTCAGGTGAAGGTTTTAAAAAAATTATGGAGAGA